GAGATTCATCCATATTGTTGTATGTACCAGTGGTGTGCTCCTTTTTATTGCTAAGTAGATTTTTATTATATGAATAAACCTCAATCTGTTGATTCTTCTATTTGATAGACATTTGAGTTGTTTTCTGTGAACATTCTTATACAAAGCTTCTTGTAGACATAATTTTTTTATTCTTTTTGGGTAAATACCTAGGAGTAGAATTGCTGGGCTATAGGTTAAATGTGTGTTTAACTTAATAACTAATAATTTCTAAAAAATGGGACTATTATTTTATTAGGCTGGTGCAAAAGTAATTGTGGTTCTTGCAACTTAAATTTAAAATAATTACAAGAACCACAGTTACTTTTGCACCAGCTTGATACATTTTTGCCAGCAATGTGTGCAAGCTTTAGTTGTTCCACATCCTTGCCAGCATTTGGTGTTGTCCTTTTAATTTTATCTATTCTAACAGGTGTGAAATGGTACCTCATTATGATTTTAATTTACATTTCCCTGATGGCTAAGACTTTGAGTGACTTTTCCTATGCTTATTGGCCATTCTTATATCTTCTTTTGTTAAGTGTTTATTTCACTCTTTTGTCCATTTTTAATTGGCTGTCTTGATTACTGATTTGTAAGAATTCTTTATAGTCAGATAGGTGCTTCACAGATATTTCTCCCAGTCTATGGACTGCTTTTTTATTTTTCTAATCGCATGTTTGTTAAGATTAACAGGTATTTCTCATTTTGGTAAAGTCTAGTTTACTCCTTTTTAACTTTATGATTAATTCTTTTTGTGTCTTCTCTAGTGAATATTTGTCTACCCCAAGGTTGCAAGAGATGGTCCTATATTTTCTGCCATAAGTATTACGATTTCAGCTTTTATATTTACTGTGATCCCCCTTAATCTTTTGTTTATAGGAAGTAGGGGATGAGATTGATTTTTTTTTTCTATGCTTATTCAATGTTCCATAGCACCTTTGTTTAAAAAACTTTGTTTTCTGCACTGATTTGCCTTGATTCCTTTGTCAAACATTAATTTGCTGTATATGTGTAGGACTATTTATGGTGCATTTTATTCTGTTCCATTGTTCTATTTTTTTTTTTTTAATTCCCATGACCACACCATATTGTCTTAATTATGTAACTTAATAGAAACTTTTGAAATCTGGCATATTTCCAGATTGGCTTGTCACTTCTAGATTCTTTGCTTTTCTGTATAAATTACAGTATCAGCTTATTAATTTCTACAGAAAACAAAAGCCTTTGGGGCTGTGATTGGGAGTCTCAAATTATTTACCCATTTGGGAAAAGCTGACATTTTAACAATATGGAATCTTCCAGTCCATGTACATTTTTTTACTTACTAGTTCTTCTTTATCATAGCAGTGTTTTGTGACTTCAGGGTTGGGTCTTGCACATTTTTGTTTATTTCATCCCTAAGTATTTTTTTTTTAATGCTATCATTAAAATATTTAAAAATTTTGTATCTCAATTGTTTGGGGCTAACACATAAAATTTATGTTTACACTATGCTGTAGTCTGTTAAGTGTGAAATAGCATTATGTCTAAGAACGATGTATGTACCTTAATTAAAACATAATTGCTAAAAAATGCTAATGATCATCTGAATCATTAACATTATCCAGCAAGCCATATCTTTTTGCTAGTGGAGGGTTTTGCCTCCATGTTGATGGCTGCTGACTGATCAGGGTGGTAGTTACTCAAAGTTGGAGTGACTGTGACAACTTCTTAAAATAAGACAACATGAAGTTTGACATATCAATAGACTCTTCTTTCATGAATGATTCTCTGTATCATGCGATGCTGTTTGACAGCATTTTACCCACAGTAGAACTTCTTTCAAAATTGGAGTCAGTCTTTTCCTTCAAACCTTGCCACTGTTTTATCAACTAAGTTTATGATAGTATAATTTTTTTTGTTGTCATTTCAACAATGTTTATAGCTTCAATGCCAGAAGTAGATTCTATCTCAAGAAACCATTTTTCTTGCTCATCTATAAAATACAACTCCTCATCCAGTCCAGTTTGGTCATGAGTTGACAGCAATTCAGTTACGTATTCAGGCTCCACTTATAATTCTAATTCTCTTGCTCTTAAAACCATGTCTGCAATTACTTTCTCCATTGAGTCTTGTACCCCTCAAAGTTATCCAAGAGGGTTGGAATCGGCTTCTCCCAGACTCCTGTTATTGTTAATATTTTGACCTACTCCCATGGATCATGAATGTTCTGGATGGCATTCAGAATGGTGTATCCTTTCCAGAATGTTTTCAATTGATTTTGCTCAGATCCACCGGAAGAATCAATGTCTGTGGCAACTCTAGCCTTATGAATGCATTTCTTAAATAATGAAACTTGAAAGATGAAATGATTCCTTCATCCATGGGCTACAGAATGGATAATGGGTTTGCAGACATGAAAGTATTAATCTCCTTGTACATAACCATCAGCACTCTTGGGTGACCAGGTGCATCACCAATGAACAGTAATGTTTTGAAAGAAATATTTTTTTCTAAGCAGTAGGTCTCAAGAGTGGACCTAAAATATTCAGAAAACCATGCTGAAAACAGATGTGTTGTCATCCAGGCTTTGATGTTCCATTTATAGAACACAGGCAGAGTTGATTTAGCATAATTCTTAAGGGCCCCAGGATCTTCGGAATTGTAAATGAGTATTAGCTTCAACTTAAAATTAGCAGCTGCATTTACCCCTAATAAGAGAGTCAGCCTATCCTTTGAAGCTTTGAAGCAAGGCATTGACTTCTCCTCTTTATCTGTGAAAGTCCTAGATGGCATCTTCTTTTAACACAAGGTTGTTTCATCTATGTTGAAAATCTGTTGTTTAGTATAAACCACCTCCATTGATTATCTTACCTAGAGCTTCTGAATAACTTGCTGCAGCTTCTCCATTAGCATTTCCTGCTTCACCTCGCATGCCTGTGTTCTAGAGATGGCTTCTTTCCTTAAACATCATAAACCAATTTCTGCTGTCTTCCAACTTTTCTTCTGCAACTTCCTTGCCTCTCTCAGACGCCAAAAATTTGAAGAGAGTTAAGGCCTTACTCTGGATTAGATTTGGGCTTAAGGGAATGTTGTGGCTGGTTTGATCTTCTATCCAGACCAGTAAAACTCTTCATATCAGCAATAAGGCTCTTTTACTTTCTTATCATTCATGAGTTCACTGGAGTAGCACTTTAAATTTCCTTCAAGAACTTTTCCTTTGCATTCTCAACTTAGCTGTTTCATGCAAGAGGCCTAGCTTTTGGCTTACGTGGCTTTTCACATGCCTTCCTTACTAAACTGTGTCATTTCTAGCTTTTGATTTAAGGTGAGAGATGAAGGACTATTCTTTTCACTTGAACACTTATGAGACCATTGTAAGACTTGGCCTAATTTCAATATTGTTGTGTCTCAGGGGATTTGGAGGCCTAAGGACAGAAAGGGAGACACTAGAAATGGCCAATCAGTGGAGCAGTCATAACACACACATTTATCGATAAAGTTCACTATCTTATATTGGTACAGCTCATGGTGCTCCAAATTAATTATAATAGCAACACCAAAGATTGCTGATCACAGAGCACCATAACAGATAGAGTAATAATGATAAAGTTTGAGATATTGTGAGAATTACCAAAATGTGACAGAGAGACACAAAGTGAGCACATGCTGTTGGAAAAATAACTCCAGTAGACTTGATTGACTCAGGGTTGCCACAAACTTTTAACTTTTTTTTTTTAATTAGTATCTATGAAGCATAATAAAGCGAAGTGCAGTAGAGTGAGGTATGCCTACATGCAGAAGTATAACTGATTTTTTTGTATATTGACCTTATATCCCATGACCTTGCTAAATTAACTTATTAATTTTAGTAGTTGTTTTGTAGATTTCTCGCAATTTTTTTTTTTGTAAATTTTTTTGCAGATTTCTGACAAAATCTCATGATTTTTCACCTGACAGTTGTCATCTACAAATAAAGACAGCTTGACTATTTGGTATGGAAATGTATAAGAAATACACGAGCTATATTTAAAGATAAAGAGGCCAGGCACAGTGGCGTAGTGCTATAATCCCAGTATTTTGGGAGGCCAAGGCAGGTGGATTGCTTGAGTACAGGAGTTCGAAACCAACCTGGGCAACATGGTGAAACCCCGTCTCTACAAAAAATACAAAAATTAGCCAGGCATGCCTGTAGTCTCAGCTATTTTGGGGGCTGAGGTAGGAGGATCACTTGAGCCTGGGAGGTCTCGGGAGGCCAAGGCCGCAGTGAGCTGCGATTGTGCCACTGTACTCTAGCCTGGGCAACAGAGTGAGACCCTGTCTATAAAATAAAATTAAAATTAAAATTAAAATAAGGAGACCAAAAAGCAAAAACACACACACACAAAACCCATAATTTAAAAATAAAAATAGCTCTTAATGTTCCTTGAAAGAGACCTTACTGAGAATATAGTTGCTAATTTGAATCTGGCCAAGTATGTAATTCCTCCTATTACTTTGTCTTTTCTATCATTTTTTTGTTTTTTCTTATCTCTTTGAGAGTGCTGTCTGCTTTGATTCAACCTTCTTAACTGGGATTACTGTGAATTATTTTTTTCTTTATGGATACCTAGAAGTAATTGTCACCTTTGATAGCAGTGATACTCTCTCGGTGACTTTAGCAATCCACTTAATTTCATTGTGCCTCAGTTTCTACATCTACAAAATGATAGAATTTTACCATATTATTTTCTCAGAGCTCTTTCAAACTTGTTTGAGCTCTTCATCTTACCTCACCGTACATCAGGGGTAGGCAGGCAGGTACAAAAAGGGTGTTTTAGAGCTTTATTTTTAGGATTTATTGTATTTCCTGTTATTTTATTGTGACTATGCTAGAGAATTGAAAATCAATTGAGTTCATTGTTAATTCTATGTATCCTCAAGGTTTGCATTTATATCTGAGGCCCTTTGTTGAGTTTACTGTTAACTCATTTACATTTTTCTATAACTTATATTTCTAGGCTTCATAGAGCCCAGTGTGCAATTAAACAGACTCAGGTAACTGTTCAGAAAATTGGAAAGGAAATTGAAGAAAAACTAAGACTCACATCTACAAGCAATGAGCTGGTAGGTTTTTACGTATTTACCTGTTTACGCATCTTGTTTTCTAAAGGAGAGTATAGTATTCTTCTAGGGTTAATTTTGAAAAACCCTGTAGATAGTTGTTATTATCTTCTTAATGTTTCACTGAGAGTTCTACTGGCATTTAAATGTTGGAAATAAACTTTCCCATCTGCTAATATTGTAACACACAAAGTGCCTGCTTTATTCTGCTAGATGAAACTTTATATTACATAAAAATACTTAGAAGATAATTAAAAGGCAGTTTTCTTAATGTGAACTCTAAACATGAACTATATAGTGAATGAAAAATAGCTGCCAGGAGGAGAAAAAATAAACTATGGGAGCTAATTTACTTTTGAAAGATGAATTTAAAAAGTATTTGGATTGAGCAAAATAGACTGGTTTGTAGACAGTGATCCCTTTTGGGAAATACTCTATTAAGGAGACATTTCCAAAGAAATAGAAATCCTAACCCAAATGGACAGATTTAAGATTTAGTGTAATTTTGAGTTGTTTTATACCCTTCCTAGTGGAGCAGAAAAAAAGTCTATTTTTGTAATGAATATTGTGTTTTTGTAAGTACAATAGTGGATATGGCTAATAAATTGAGCTTTTTTTAAAAGCCACTTTGGAATGAATAGCTTTTGAGTAACTTTGTGCTGTGGCTTAGACTTAAAATAAAATTTAGATCTTTAAATTAAGTTCTAGATAAAATTATTTGAGTATTTGTTTGTGTGAACTCATTATCACAGATAGGCAGCATCTTCCTGTTGTCATCTGCAGCTTTCTCAGCTTAGCAGAGGGCCTTTACATCACCAAACAAAAGCTTTTTGTTGCCTTGAAGATTTGCCCAAGATAATCATATAGTGGAAGTGTAGAAAAGCAGCAATGCATGTAACCTCACAGAAACTTTTCTCTCATGGAATTTGAAATTAATATATTAGTTCAAACTGTATACAATTGCTGATTTTGACCTATAAATGGCAGTTTCATATGGTTCAACCTGATATATATATAACAGCTAGTGCTATACCTGGCACGTAGCAAGCATACAAAATATGGTAGCTGCAGTAACTATAGTAGTAATTCTTATTATTCATGTGACTTTCCTTGTCTATAGAAACATCTTCCATTTAAGGTACTATTAAACCACCTCTTGTTGTAACTTAGACCCAATAAAGGACTAAATTTCAAACCATAAATATATTGAAGGGGAGGGAAAAAATCACTAATTTTAATTCTTTCTGTAGTATATAAAAATGCTAGATTTTTAGAACCTTTGGAAAAAATTGCTAGGTTTTATTTTTATTTTCCTCTCCCAAGGCAAGACTGAGAAATTACTTGTTTCATTAAATGACAGCATGTACTTTATCTCAGTGTGGAAAAATGTATTTTTAATCCTGTTTTAAAAAAAAAATCTAAGTGGTGACACAGAGCAAAGTAATAGTATGTGTGAGTTTAAAGTGGTCAAGTTCAGAGGTTCGCTGTATGTTATTATGCTGCCTCATCAACAGAAGAAAATCATTGGATTTTTGAACGGAATGTGAACCTATAACCCCATTTAAAACTGCAGCCCCCTCAGTACATTCTGTCTCCTTTCCTGCTTTACTGTTCTCTATCATATTCATGATCGTTTGCCATGGTATATATTTCACATATTTTTCTATCTCTCTAAACTTTGCAAGGGGAGGGGTTTTTAATCTTCTTCTTCTTTTTTTTTTTTTTTTTTTAAAACATTGGTGTATTTCCAGCATCTGCAAAAGTGTTTGCCACATAGTAGGTGCTCAATAAGTATCTGTTGAATTTAAGAATGAATCTAGCATAATGTTCTCTTATAATAGGACAGGAAAATGAAGCTTAAAGAAAGGAAACAACTTTCCCACAATAATTTGACAATAGAGACAGAGAATTCAGTTTACTTGCTTCCTTTCAGAGAATAATACCATCTGCATGTCAATTAGTCACGTTAAGTTTTACCTGTAGCATATCAGAAAACTTTACTATTTGTCTTTTTTCTCATTTACTTTTCAAACTGGCCCATGGCCATTGTGTTCCACCCATCCATTTCCAGCATTTAGAAATCATTTTCATTTTAACCTGAGTAACAATGCAGCAAGAAGGCATATTTGATGTTGAAGGAAATCAGATTACCTTCTGAGACTACATGTATTACAAGAAATTGGGTTCATACTTGGTGACTTTGAAAAATTTGCCATCTTCTCACATAACATGAATGCCTAACATTTTTTGGCATTTAATTACATTTCTTGTGAAATTTCTGCTGTTGAATTTTTACCGTGTTTTAGAATTTTTTTTTGTTTTGAGGTGAAATTTCACTGTGTTGCCTGGGCTGCTCTTGAACTCCTGGCCTTAAGTTGTCCTCTCACCTGAGCCTCCTGAGTAACTGGGATTATAGGCACGTACCACCATGCACAGTTTGTGTTTTAGATTTTGTCAAATGCCTTTCCTGTATCTGTTTCGATGAATGTATGCTTTTTCTCTTCTGTTATGGTAAAATACATAGGTTGATTTTTGAATGTTAACTCAACTTTGCATTCCTGGGGAAAGCCCTCTTGATCATGGTGAATTACTTTTTAATACATGTTACTGGATTTAATTTGTTAAAAAATTTTAAAGGAATTGTGCATATATATTTATAAAGAATATTGGTCTGTAGTTTGTTTTCTTTCTTTCTTTTTTTTTTTTTTTTTTTGAGACATAGTCTTGCTCTGTTGCCAGGCTGGAGTGCGGTGGTGTAATCTTGGCTCACTGCAATCTCCAGCTCCCTGGTTCAGGCGATTCTCTGATTCTCCTGCCTCAGCCTCCCAAGTAACTGGGATTACAGGCATGTGCCACCATGCCTAGATTTTTGTATTTTTAGTAGAAACGGGTTTTCACCATATTGGTCAGGGTGGTCTCGATCTCCTGATTTCATGATCTGCCTGCCCCGGCCTTCCAAAGTGCTGGGATTATAGACATGAGCCACCGTGCTCAGCCTGTAGTTTGTTTTGTTGTAATCCCTTTATTTAATTTTGTTGTTAGGGTGATGTCCTCAACTCACTTTTGGAAAGTGTTTTCCCCATTTTTGTTTTCAGGAAGAATATGTATAGAATTGGAATGATTTCTTAAATGTTAGGTAGAATTTGCATTGATGCCATCTGGGCCTGGAGGTTTTTTTTTTTTTTTTTTTTTTTTTGAGGTTTTTGAACTGGGAATTCAATTTCTTTAATGACTTACCTTTTGAGTGAACTTTGGTAGCTGTGTCTTTCGAGGATTTGTCCATTTTATTTAAGAGGTCAGTCTTTTTACATTTTAGCTATTCTAGCAGTTATGTAGTATTTTCTTTTTGTTCTAAATTGTATTTCCATGATGAGCATTTTTCATATCCTATTGGATATGCATGCATCTTTTAAGAAGTATCATTTCAGGGCCAGGTGCGGTGACTCATGCTTGTAATCCGAGGACTTTGGGAGGCTGAAGCAGGTGGATCTCTAGGTCAGGAGTTCGAGACCAGCCTGGCCAATAGGGTGAAACCCCATCTCTACTAAAATACAAAACATTAGCCGGGTGTGGTGGCACGTGCCTATAGTCCCAGCTACTTGGGAGGCTGAGGCAGGAGAATCGCTTAAATCCAGAAGGCAGAGGTTGCATCAAGCTGAGATCGTGCTGCTATACTCCAGCCTGGGCAACAGAGTGA